AACCTACCTTACCTTCGTAGTTGGACAGGACCATGTTGTGTGGCTTGGTGTCGGCATCGCTTTTCCCGATTTTGTTTAATAAAAGATGTGGCATCAAATTTACCGTTGCGCCACAGTCCACCAGAATTTTGTTAACTGGGGTGTTTTCCACTTTAGCCGTAATGTACAACGGCTTCAAATGGTTCCTCATCTCCTCGGTGGGCCGTTCGAAGAAAGCATTCTGCTCCTCAACACAGCCGTTATTCATCACATAATAGCAGACGGGTTTGTGTGCTGCCATTTTGCAGTCTGCGTCTGTGTCACAGTTTTTGATCACAAACAATCTGTCATATTCTTTCGGCATCATTGACACTATGTTCACCAAAAAATTTAGCCAATCATCAGAATCTGAGTCGAAGTTATCCGTCATCTCGTCGTCGACCCCAGTGATCTCTTTCTGATTTTTAACCTGGTTTGAGAACAACCTCCTGCCCACCGGTGGTTGCGTGGTTTTGCTGATCGTTTTTGACAGTTCTCTCTGATTCTCTGTTGGGAGATTAGTACTAGATTCAACCTTGTCCTTCAACACCGTTTCTCTCAGAGCTTTTCTTTTCCGTTGTTCCCGCCTCCACTGCGATCGAGACATGAGGTTTTTTCCTTTATAATTCTCGGATACATGGGCCATCTTCGAAGATTGGAATTCTTTTCGATAGGTAACTGAGGAACCTCTATTCACTTCGAAATTCTTCCATCTTTGTTCACCTTGTCGCTTATCCTCGTTGGGTTTTGTCCACCTCCCATCGGTGTTTCCAACAGCGGGTTTGAAACTAGCAGGCCTTGTTTTGGGGCCTCTGATGTGGGGTTCAGAGCTTTTCAGTAAAATGCTTCGTCGATCGAACTCAGGCATTCTCCCGCTTTGCTTTAGCCTTCGTGTTCCCTCAAGTCTCTGGGCAGCTTTTTTGTCGAAGATTGCGCTGCATCGTGGGCATAACATCACGCTAGATCCTTTTCCCTGGCATTTATGAAGAAAATCCACAATTGTTTCCTCTTGCTTCGGGTATGCTTCCTTAGTGATTTCTTCTTGATTGTTCGACTCACTGTCCCCCTCACCTTCTTGTCGGGTGACTTCCATCATGTTGATCTCAACCTCCTCAGCCAAATTCAAACCCTTTAAGTTTAGACCTAAACCTTCAGTAGCCTGGTCCATTTCGATGAAGTTATCACCCATCTCCTTGGTCACCATCTCCCATTTTAGATTGTCCGCTACCCCGTCGGCGTTGGTAATATTCATCTCCTCTTTACTGCCTCGTTCGAAGCTCATTATGACCTTTGTCATCACGGCATTCTTGACGAAGTCATCAGTAACTTCTATCATGCTTTCTGAGAAGTTGTGGCCTTCAGTGACCTCGATCATGTTGGCTTCTAAAGGCTCTGTGTAGTGAGTGTCCGTCACCTGTAGAGGGTCCGTGTCGACCTTCATTTGGCTGGTGGTTTTCTCCCCAAACTTCAATCGTCCCTCCTGGATTGCGTTCTGAACAAGGTCCCTGAAAAGAAAACATTGAGATGTTTTATGATCCAGAAAGTTATGGTACTTACAAAAACCTCTCTTTTTTCGTTGCTCTAGTGATGGCAATTTAGCGCCAGGTGGCACTATCATTTGTCCATCTTTTACCAACAGATCGAAAATTTCATAACACTTGGTGATGTCGAAGGTATATGTCTTCTTTGGGAATCTATCATTCCTTTCCAATTCGACAACACTCTTCCCCTGTGGGGGTGCTAATACTTTACAAGAATAAGGGGGGCCCTGTTTAAGTTCGGCGAGGTCTACTTCATTTTCGTCGAGATTCAAAGAATCCTCGTATGCCCTTTCGATATTGTCATCAATTTCGACAAAGGCCACTTTCTTGCTCTTGTTAAGCCTATTTTTCTCGTCTTTCAAACGTTCGAGCTGTCGAACTCTATCGGCCAGTTGGGCCATATCTCTTAGGTATTGGGTATCTAACTTCTTACGAATGGAATAATCAAGGCCTCCAGCGGCCATTTCGACCAGTTCGTGTTCCGGCACTTGCGTAAAACACCTGGCCTTGAGTAATCGAAACCTATTGAGGTATTCCTCGATCGGTTCCAAAAACTTACGTTTTACGCTGGCTAGTTCTTTCAAACTAATTTTGGTCTGACCCATGTAAAACTGCTCGTGAAACAAGCGTTCAAGTTGGGCCCAACTACATATGGTGTTAAGTGCTAGCGTCGTGAACCAAGTGAAAGCATTTTTTGTGAGGGAACTTGGGAAGTATTTTATCCTAAGGCTCTCATCATTTGCTATTTCCCCGGCTTCGATCACGTATCGAGCCACATGTTCGACAATAAATTCCATCGTATCCCCTTAAAATTTTGTAAATTTTGGTACTTTCGTCATATGGGGTAATTCTGTTTGAAGGATGTAATCTATTATCGGGGACGTAAAGTTTGGTCGAGTAAAACCAGTGTTTACTCCGTTTCGAGCCATGATCCTTTCGACCATGGCCGTTAGATTGGTGTCAATGGCTATATTATGGCGTCAAACTTCTTGGACCACATGATCTGCATCCTGGTTTCGGTTTATCACGACCACTCCTTGGTTACCTTCGTCTAGGATATGGACTTGGTTCGTTTGGTTTTCTCTTACCGCCTCAACTACGGAAGGTTCGACTCTAACCTGATTTTCTAAGTGTATTTCCCTTGCGTTTCTTACGTCTTGTCGAGGGACGTTGCCATTGTGTTTTGATTTCTGGGTACAGGGGGTACTCCCATAAACTCAGCCAACCGCATCAACTGCAGTGTCAATTGCTGGTTGGTTTGGGTGGTGTTATGGATCAATGGCTGAAAGATCTCACCCATAGTTTAGGACAAAGTTTGAACCATTTGCATGTTGCTCTCATCCATCTGTTGCCTCAGGCATGCGACTGAGGTATTGGTCAAGTTGGGGCCTTGCGTCGAATATCCCAGATTCTAGCCCTGGAAACTTCGACCAATGTTCACCCCAGATCCTGATCCTTGCAACAGAGAAGTCACAGGGTTATCTGAAAAGATGGGGGGAGCATTTTGAAGCCCCTGCATCACAGTTGTAGGCATTCCATACGTTGGATTCCTGGGCATCTGTACCAATCGAGGAAGAGGATTTTGCCTAAGCAGGGGGCTTCCTTCTAATGGTGTCTGAGGATTTGACACTTGGGGCCCGATATATTCCAATACTGGTTGAGTATAGGGTCTTATTACAGTCGACCCAGCCTCTAATATCGAAGGTGTTGGTACAGGCCTTACCGGGAGCCCTATTTGCTCTCCCGTTGATGGTATTGAAGTCGACGCTCCGTCGTTTCTTGTTTCTTTGCTAGAGCCATTTTGTTGGCCATTTGGCTGAATGGGTTCCGTCGCCATATTCCTAGTGTTACGTCTTACTAAACTTTCTTCGTTCGTAGTGGTTATTCTGCCACTTCTTAGTAACATACAATGTATTTTGAAGAAAAGTTGATAAGACTTATATTTTTTATTCTTATGATCTCAAAACTTTCTTTGTTCAGCACGGTCCCACCAGGTGTGCCATTTTGTTTACCGTGTTTTTTGGTAAACAACCTCTGGTCTATCAATTTGGTGTCAAATTGACTAACTTGCAGGATTGACCATACGAAATCCTAGGATATGTGCTGAAGGGTGTTTCTATTTGAACCTATCTAGAAATGTGTTTCAACAATACTAAGAAGAAATAAATTAACGAAGGGGGGCAGAAATTATCCACTAAGTTTAAAAGAAAGAAGGACGAAGAATTATTAAGGGAAGAAGATATAAGAGTTTCTTTTGGGAGGGGAGGACTTAATCGAAGTAGTAATGATGAACAAGAGGGAAAGATGTAACAAATAAATAAAAGTATTTGACAAAAGTAAAGAAACAAAATAACTTCATTGGAAAGATAAAGGATGGTGTGTTTACATCACGTACATTCTCTATAATACTCTCTTTCTCTACACTCGGATACTTGGAGTAATTTTAAGAGTGACTTGTACAACAGTAAATTACAACACCTTAAGTTCTATGTCTAAGACTCCTATTTATAATAATAATAGTAACTACTAATAACCTCCCTAGGCCATCTATTCTTGACAAGTGTCAGATCGCATGCAATCCTTTATCCGATGAGAGCCACCTGTCCTACTTAGTCATAAGAAAATATAACTACTCCCTCCAAGATTCAAATTTCAAAACACTCACTTCGACACTTCTTCTAAATCTCGGTCGAAGACCATCTCGCCTGCTTAGGTCGAAGTATTCAATTTCAAGACTTCAATTTCCTAAGTCCTTGGAAGACTTGTAGATCTTTTAATATGCTGAAAATAGCCTCCAACATGAGTCGTCGAATTGGCGAGCTAACACATAGTTAACCCCAAGGGTTGACCTAGTGGTGGAGGCTTGGGTCTTGAAAGTGTGCTCCTCTCGAGATCTCAGATTCGAATCCTACTAGTAAAATCAATCAATTCACACCTATTTAGTTTAAAATCAACTATATTTATACATATATAAACAAATCTAAATTCCTTTCTTCGTCCAATTACATCTTTTTAAGAATTTAACATTATAGTTGGAATATAAAATAAAAATTCTACATAGTCAATAGTAATTCACAATCATCCAAACATTTGTAGTGAGTTAATGATCAATGATTATAATTAATTGACTTAAACCAAGATTAAAATTTTAAATTAAAAATTTCTATTGCCAAAAAATGGGCCAATGGGCCCATAAGCCAAACGACAAAGAACCATCCCGTTTCGCTGAAAATCTCAACCAAATCGCAATTTCCTATTTCGTTCCACCAAGTCCTTTCTTTACCCTTTGTTTTTTTTTCCCTTTATTATTCCCCACAATTTGCGTTCCTTTTCTCTTTCCCTTATTCTCCTTCATCTTTATCGTTTCTTGTTCTCAACTGTTTTCAATTTTCCGATCAGATCCGCAACTCTCACTTCACGAAAAACCTCTGATAATCATCCATGACGCTTGGCTCAGGAGGATCCAGTGTCGTGGGTTAGTCACTGTTCAAACTCGTAGTTTTTTTTTCTGTTTAACGACGCCGTTTTTGTTTTCCGTCGATTGTGATTGTTGTTCATGTTTTCCTCGAATATTCCTCTCTTTCTATGTAGATTTTGTTAAGCACTTGTTGCCGTTGACCTAGAATAATTGATGCGTGTAATTATTGTGATTTTCTAGGGTTTTTTTTTTGTTTGTTTCGATTTTATATGGATGGAATTTTGGATCGGTGATTGAAGCTTCATGTTGCGATGTTTTGGTTGATAATTTACTGTGAATAATATTTTTGCGTTTTATTTTTTTAATTTGCAATTAACTTTAATTGTTAATTATGTTTTGTTTAGGAGTTTTTTTGTTTGTTTGATTGAAATTTTCTTGATTTTTATGCGTGGTCTATATTTCATTTCATTGCTGTTCTTGTTTATGGGCTTTGTTTTTAGTAGTTATTCCATGATGTGATTCATGTACTCATGTTCTCGGGTGATATATATTGTAACTCCACACATTGAAGTTTAAGTTATGACTACGAAGCACGAACATCCCAAACACGACATGCCACGGCGACACTGGTAATCACAAGTGGTGGACACAGAAATGGGAGCACCTTTTCCCAGAGGTGCCATGCTACACAGAGCTATGAAGCAAAGACACATTATACTGACACGGAGACACAGAGACACTGATGTAATTTAAAGAAATTAAAGTTAGTTGGTTTAAGTTGAGAAAACACATTTTCAGCTTTTATTGTTAGTGTTTATCCTAAGGCGATGCAAGTTTGAAACATTCATTCTTGTTATCTTGTGAATATAGAAGGCTTCATTTGTTGTGTGAGTTAGTTTTGGCGTTTTTTGTTTGTTTCAATTTTCTGTCGTTGAAATTTTGGATCGGTGACTTCGGCTTCTTGTTGCAATGTTTTGGTTGATGATTTACTATGAATTATATTGAGTTTTTTTTTTCTTTTTTGTATTTACAATTTACTCCATTTGGAATGTTGATCGGTTTACTTGTTAATTATGTTTTGGTTAGATGTCTTTTTTGTTTGTTTGAGGTCTTGTTGATTTTGTGTGTGATATATATTTCATTTCGTTGCTGTTCTTGATTATTGGTCTGTTTGTAGTAGTTATTCGTTGATGTGATAAGTATGCTTTACATTGAAGTTTAAGCTATGAAGCAAATACACCTTACACTGACACCAAGACACTGATATAATAAAAGTTAGTTTTAATGCTTCAGCAATTGATCCGACAGATATCTATAACAGTTGGTTCAACATGAAGATACACATTTTTACAACTTTGATTGTTAGTGTTTATCCTGAGGCAATACAAGTTAGAAACATTCATTCTTGTTGTCTTGTGAATAAAGAAGGCTTCATTTGTTGTATGAGCTAGTTATGTCGTTGTAATGCTTGGATAACAGTTTTTTGAACATTTCAAGAACTTATCATAGTTCAAGTGCACTTGTCCTGGCCTTTGAGTTTTAACACTTTGAATTTGACGTGGTCAAGCTATATGGATAAAGGATTCTATTAGTATTGTTGTGTTGTTTGACATGCACGCAAAATGCTTAGTTACTTGGTGTTATTCAAATTAAAGATGCTTATATTTATATTGTTTTAAATGTGCGCGCTTCAATGCAGTTCCAAGGAACTTCAGATTGCTGGAGGAACTTGAACGGGGTGAAAAAGGTATTGGTGATGGCACAGTTAGCTATGGAATGGATGACGGTGATGACATTTACATGCGCTCTTGGACTGGTACCATCATTGGCCCCCATAATGTAAGTATTTATCTGTAACCGCCTAACATCCATTTTTTGCCCGTGTAAAAGCAGATTTTTTTAGTGTTTGAACTTTGAATAAGTAGATTCTAAAGCAGCAATTCACCTAATTTGTTAAACCTAGTTTGTGTGGAAGTTGGATATTCTTTAGTCCTGGAAGCATTATAGTATAATTTACATCATGTTTCCTTGAACATGTTTTTCAAGTTCTTGTTCTGAATTACTGGTTTATTTATATAATAGTGAGCTCAAACTTCTCTGTATTTGCACATGCAGTCTGGCAGTCATTCTAGAACTGCAGTGAGCATAATATCTAGAGCTATTAAATCATAACTGAATGTTTTGTTACTCAATTCTGTAATATATCCAATGGTTTTAACTTACAATATAGTATTATATATTCTTTAATCTACGATAGATATGCCCTTCCAATGTCCCGTCAGATCTTTTTGTTTGGCCCGATTAATGCTGCATCGGAAAGAAATTTGAAAGTTTGGCTAAATTTTATCTGTATAATTGTATCTGCTTTTGTTTTGTGCATACTTAACAAGTTGCTTGCATTTGATATAATTACCTTTCTTTTGTGTTTTCTCTGTCAGACTGTACATGAAGGAAGAATTTATCAACTGAAGCTGTTTTGTGATAAAGACTACCCAGAAAAGCCCCCAAGTGTTCGGTTTCATTCACGAATCAATATGACTTGTGTTAACCATGAAACTGGCGTGGTATCAGTTACAATTTCCACATGCTTTCATCTTCTAACTATTTTATAGTTCATGCTTTTTGAAGTATATATGAAGTTACAAACTGTGCTAACACAATCTCTTTTGAAGTATATATGAAGTTACAAACTGTGCTAACACAATCTCTTTTGAAGTATATATGAAGTTATAAACTGTGCTAACACAATCTCTTTGGTTTTTGGCATTAACTTCAAATCCTATGTTATTAGAGATTTAATCAAAGTTTATATGAAACAGGTTGAACCAAAGAAATTTGGGCTTCTTGCAAATTGGCAAAGAGAGTACAGCATGGAGGATATACTGACCCAGCTGAAGAAAGAAATGGCAGCTCCTCATAACCGGAAGCTTGTCCAGCCTCCAGAAGGAACTTACTTTTAACATCCAAGATCATATTGTTGGATCATATTGCATTTGCAGTATGCAATATATAGTGTGTAATGCTTCGTAGATCCTTCTGAATTCAAGAACATGTTGGGGAATGCCCTAAAAAGCTTCCTATTTCCATCTCTATGGCTTCAGAGTTGTTTTGTTGTCTGTCTTTGTCAACTGTGCTGAAGGGGATGCTGTTTGATGATGAAATTGTGTGTGCCAAATATTGAAAGCAACTCTTTTAAGTAGTATTTTTTCCTTCAGATTATCACAATACTATTTTCAATTTTAGTCTTACATCCTTTTGCTTTACTCTCTTTCTGCCTTGTAAGTAATCTGGAGCTAAATGGAAAATGGGAAGTAATCTGGAGCTAAATGAAAAATGGGAAGTATCAATTTGGATGTGTGCCTTTATATTTTGGTAATTGGTTTTGGTGCTTGTTTAATGCAGATTTGGTTTCTCACTAAAGGGGTGTTCTTGTCCCTTGGTAAAAACCGATGGTTTTGTTAAAATTACGTTTTTGCTCATTTGCACAAAATGTGCTGTCCATGTCATAAAATTAGTTCAATGTTTGATTGCTTGCATTATTGAAATCTATAATTTATATTGCTTTTCATGTCAATATTCTGTATTGCAGTAGTGGAAATGTCAATTTAATATATGAACTCAATAATATTTAAATATGGAGAAATCAAACCAAGCAACATGTTCATGCAAAGCGGACTCCAACAAGAGCTTTGTCTTCCTCCTTCACATCCTTTTACTCGTGGTCTCAAAATCAAAGCAAGAACAAACATTCAATTTTTGCTTTATTAACATTCAAATTTTGCTTTATTAACTGGGACAAAAGTAGATGAACCTAATGAATGGTACAACTTCTATAAAAAAAATGTAATTTTTCTTAATCTTTTAGAGAATGTAATTTAAAAATGCCTATGATATGTGTCATAATATTTCTGTTTTAGAGATTAGGCATTGAGCAAGAGGTCTCATAATGCTTGATGCGATGAATGGTTACTTAAGAAAACCATAATCTTTCATGCAACTTGAATTTCCATTTGATATTATCAATAGTATTTTCCAATTCAAGCTTGAAGGCCACAACTCTCTTTTTCTTCTTTGACTATGTAATGAACAATTTCTTTACAAAATAATTGTATTATTATAAGTGATCCTATTTAAAAGAAAACAATATTGGTGAGGGCCAATGAGGAGACGTTGATGAAGATCTCATACATAATATTGTGGAGATTTATAGCGCTTCTACTCCTTAAACATGACTCACATAACTTTCAATATGAGAAAGTTTTATTTAAAATAATATTATAATTTTTTTAAAAATAAATATAATAAGTTTGATGAGTTTTTTTTTTTGTTTTTTTGAATATAATCATGTGAAGTTTATGATAATTAATATATCTGATATGAAAAAGAATTATGTAATGAACAATTTTTTTACAAAATAATTGCATTATTATAAGTGATCCTACTTAAAAGAAAACTAAATTGGTAAGGGCAAAAGAGGAGACGTTGAATGGATATGACGTTGAATGTTATGATCACTGTTGTCGTGTATTTGATTTTATGAATAAAGTATTGAATTTATGATTAATTGATGAATTTGGATATTAATTGATGTATATATGACAATTTGGTTGTTGTATAATATGTCTATTATTTTCTGTGCGATTTGAGATGCTCGAGGTCAAAATCAAAGCTTCGAATGAGCTATGCTAGTGAAAATGCAGATTATGTTTTCTACAACAGTGTGACGGCCATCACAAGCGTGACAGACTGACCGTCATGCGTCTGAGGCAGCTGACGGTTGTTAGCATGATGACGGGATAGGTGACGAACTGGTCGTCACGACTGTTAAGGATTATTTTTGGGCATTCTGTCCGGATTTCGATGCTGTTTTCTCGTGTGGTCGATGGTGGGCTGCTGTTTTAGTGTATTTGATGAAATTAGTGATGAAATTATAATTGAATTAATTTGCATGATTATAAGTGGTGAATTATGATTATGTTTATGAGTTGTGATGTTGCGAATAATATCATGTGTTGTGAATGCAATTACAATTGTCGTGTTAAGGTGAGTAGTTCATAAGTGGGGACTACTATGAATGGTATATTGCATGTTGTTTATGGTTAGATGTGGAACCACAAATATTTTTGTTGCATTACTTTGTATGTCGTACATCATTTTGTGTTAGTGTGTTGAAAGAGGCGAATCACGGATTCAGAAGTGGGGACCAGTGACTAGTTCAGAATTCAGAAGTGGGGACTCAGCTCGAATGAGGAACCATTGTTGAGTGAACGAGATCAGTAAAAAACCTTTGATGTCCAAATTGGTACCTCATGCATATAGTCGAGTTGAATTACATTGCATACATAAAGACTATGTGAGTTGAATTGTTGTGTTATTGTGTAATTTAATGTGTTGTTGATTGTGTAATTTAAGATACTCTTGCATTCTCTTACACCGTTAATATAATTGAGTGTATTCTCACCCTTTTGTTGTTTGTTTCGCGTTGTTCTATACAATGTTGTACAGATACCCAGGAGGAGTAAATGCTACCAGGAGTTGGAAGATGACTATGAAGCTCTCTTCGTTTTCTTTATTGTTTTATTTTCGTTTAATTAGAACTATTGCTCTGATATATAATATCGGAGAATAGGTCGTTTAAACTGTTTCAAGTTAATGGTTGAATTTTGTTAATTTTGTTAAGTACTTTATTTGAAGAGATATTAGAAGTTTATGTTAATTATTTTAAATTCCGCTGTGAGTTTTGAAATTAATTGGAAAGTATACATATTATGTTTGAGTAGCATCCTAATATAATAGTTTTATTATTTAATTAAGTGTCAGGATTTTAGGGCTTGCATCACCACTATGGAAGATATGACTATATAAGACCCTTTTGCTATAAATTGTATGGATATCCTAAATCTCATAGTCAGCTAAGGCCCAAAGGAAAGCAAGGGAAGAAAACTCAAGCAAATAAGGAGTGGAAACCTAACGAAAAATCCATTATTTTATAGCTCATACATCTCTTAGAGTTTCTTTTAGAGAAGATTGATACCTTGATAGTGGATGTTCCAGACACATGACTAGAGAAAAGATATATCTTGAAGACTTGAAACCATACACTGATAGCTATGTCACCTTTGGTGGTGGAACAAGCATAAAAATCAAGGGCATAGGAAAATTGGTCTATCCAGGTATCCCTTACCTTTATGATATGTTGTTGGTTGAAGGATTAACCACTAACGTGATCATCATATGTCAATTATGTGATCAAGATTTGTATGTCAACTACAACAAGTCAGAATGTATTGTGTCTAGCAAAGCTCAATAGGTGGTGATGAAGGGTTAAAAATCTAAAGACAATTGTTATATATAGACTTCTCAGCCCCCTTCCAAGGTTGAGAGCATGGAAAATATATTATTCATCAAAATCTGTAAGTTATACCAAACAGATAAGATGTTCGACAAGATTCTCCCGCACCCTACTTACCTAAAAGCTTGAAGTTACCATCTATGAATCTCAGGGAATCTTCTCCAATTAAAGGTTTAGGTGAAAGAAATGAAACCCTATGTGACTTAGGGTTAGGTATGTCATACAAAATGTTAGAACATTATGTTAAACCTCAGTTTGAAAGTAAGAGGAGTCCTAATAAAAGTACACATACCTTCCTCACATACAAGTAAAACTTCTAAGAGATATTTGGACCAATTAAGTTTGAATTACTAAAGGGTGTAAATAGTATTTCCTTGGGTGTAATGACATGAAATTTAATTCAAGGGAGGCATGCAAGTCTAAATGGAAAGTTTCTCTCTTATGTGATCAATATTGCCCTTAAAATAAGAGAAACAATTTTAAATTCAAATTTCTTTCGCAATCACTCTTTCCTTACACGAAAGAGTAACCTAACTCCCTTCTTTTATTGCGCTAACACATACGTTCTCCTTCATTTTTCTAAAAACACTTTCAAAATGATCAAAAAGACAACTGAATACTACATTTGCTGAACCCAAGCCTATTAAAATTCATATGGGGTTAAGATGCTTGGAGTTGAAATGGGGAAGAAAGAAACATCAAATAAAATTAGAGTTTCTGATTCCAACGACAATGATGATGAACCCATTATGTTTTTGAACCCGAAATCTCTGAGGATGGTTGTTCTTGATGATATCTCAAATAAAAGAACAAAGAGTAATGCCACCAAGAAGAAGTTATCATATGGAAAGGTTAGTACCACTAAAAGACGTCTTATGTGCATGTTCATAATAATGCTGAATCTGTGACTATTAATGAAGAAGTTGTGTCAAATCCCATTGAGAAAGCTATTGGTCATGCTGAAACCATTGTTGAGGATCCTCATGAGGAACCGCATGTTGAAACACATGTTGAGTCACCTGTTGAACCAAATGTTGAAGCATTTATTCTAACATGTGGTCGTCCTCAGGCTAAACCCACTTATGTACTGCTGATCAACCATACAAACCGATTAAAGTACCATAAATTAAGGCAACCCCGATGCCAATCCTACCATGGTTGAAGGTCATCCTGTTGATACACCTGTTTTTGACAAGTTCTTTGATGACATTGTCAATGACTACTATGTCTCCTCTAAAGACTCTGCTGATGACATCTCCAATAATAACCATCAACATGTAGAAGCTGAAGTTCCCAGTAAGACTTTCGAGGGAAAAAATGACACCAATAAAGACGTAAGGAATGAAGAACCCCAAAATGAAGAAGAAAAGACGCATGAGGAAATAAATGAAGAGGCTGGTGATGACGATGAGGTTCCCATTGTTCATATCATGTAGAAGCTTATTGAAAGTATGTCTAAGCCTCAAGGAAAAGACTCTCAACTAAAAGCTAGAGAGGTTGTGAATGTAGATGAAGAGAATGAATTCGATGTCCCTTTTAAACCCCTCTTAAAGAGCTATGGAATTGTGAAGAAGAAAACTCCATAAAGGACTCCTATGAACAAGAGAA